CCTAATCCGGGCAACTAGTCTGACCCCCACATCTTCCTTCCCTTTTCCAAACATCAGCCACCTTGCGAAACCACCACCGCCACCCTGCTTCCTAACTCTGGCTCAGGCCAGGCCAGATAAAGCAAATGTTGTTGCTGAAGATTTTTTTTGTCTCTTCTTTCACATGCTTTTTTCCTTGGTATCTTTCTGTTCCTCATGATCTTCAAGAATCGTGAGTAGCTTGCTCGGAACAGTCTCAAAGGAGATTTGACCACAATGACTGAGATGTTTATACCGTAATTTGCATTCTGGTTAGGATTTGAGCCGTAAAGAGGTCAAAAAATATTTCTACAAGGATAAGGCATGAAAACTTATTTCACCAGAGGAATTCAGTTTTAGGAAATCTGAATCATAGTGTCTTACAAAGGGTCTTAAGAAATTGCCAGTAATATTGTAATTGAAGTATCACAGAAAATAGGGACAGGTTAATTTCCAGAATCCGACGCACACAAGATCGCAATAGGATGTTTAATCCACTTCTTATTTCTTACTTGTCCAGCTGTTCATCATCCTTTACAAGATTTCTGAAGATTATTTTGAGTTGTGACATTTCCCAAGATTGGTCTCTGAGTCCCGTTAATTTTTTTGCGAATTTATTCATGAGATTCTGGTAGAAAAGAATGGCTTTCTCAGAAGACATCTTCCCTTCTCTTGTTGGGGTCTTTGCTGGAGGGATATTCAGACTAAATTTGTGAAACTATTGAGGACGACAGTGGCCTGATCAGCCCATGTAACCACTTTTGATATGCGGTCCAAACCGAGGAAATGAAAACAGCTTGGGGGTCTGATGTAAGCACCGGCCCTTCCCTGACCCCCAGGTGCTTCGGGATAGCTTTCACCAGTAGGATAAACATGAGCGGATGTGGACCCGAATTGGAGAAACATGGGCGATGAGATGAGGTTGTAACCAGTGTTGACAGCAGGTTTAAAGGCATTTCATGGTCTTCTAGTTTTTTCAGACAAAAGAAACTGCAACACTAGGCCTTCTAAAGTTCCATCTTGTTAGATTCTGCATTTTCAATTTAGGGAGAGCCTTTCCCTTTCTCCTTTCAGAATGGATGGAAAAAAATCCAACACTTAAGCCTACATATGCATGGGAGTACTTGATTGCATCAAGCCCTGCTTTAAACGATTCAGCACAGACATATCACTTAGACTACTGAATCAAATGCAGTCAAATCATGAAATCATCAGAACCAGCCACAGTTTAAATAATCCAGCACAGACAAATCACTGAGATCATCAGATCCAACTCAAATAAATCATTGAGATCCATTTGATCCAGCCCAGGTTCAGTCCAGCTGAAGCAACCAAGCTTGCAAGCTCAGACAAGTCACTGAAATCATTAGATCCATCCCCCTTAAATCCCAGAGATATCATTTGATTCAGTCTGGAATCAGACAAAATCCAGCTCAGACCAATCACTGCCGATCACCACCATCCCCCAACACAACAAATTGAACTATGATTTCTTGCCTTTACACCTGTCCTCACACCAATCCTCCCTTTACACCCTGGCAGTGGAGACCCTCTAGCTTCTTGGCAGGGTTAATTTGCTGGCATTATCGGGCCGACCTTGCCAAAGACCCCTCTCTTTTCTGTGTTGGGGTCCAAACTCTGCCGCCTGAGAGATTTATGCCACACTGACACCTTAATTGATTCAACTGGCCTGAGAGCCAGTTCTCCAATATGATTTGCGGGGTGCAAGGGAAACAATATCTTTACCAAGTGAAACTTTCAATAAGGGTTGGGCATTGTCATTTAACAGATCACAACAAAATTGGATGCTTCCAAAGCACCACTCTCGCTTCATTATGCCAACTTCATATCAGTGTTGTGGTCAGTACTTTCCAAGTACCAAGGTTCTCTGCCAAATGTTTTAACTAGTTAGGAGGGAACAAAGCAAAGTACATGGGTATTTGATGGTGCATGACTTCAGACGATCACTGTTAAGTTTTCAAGACAAAAGTACTTGAAAGTACTCGGCTGAGTACTTTCTGAGTATTTTTCCCTTCAAATTAAATTTTTACAAATCTGAGTGTCTGAAGTCTTACACAAAATAGCTCCTTATAACAAATTCCCTATCTATAATTAACATTCCGCTTCTGAAATTAAATGACACTGTGCTTTGTAATTGATTCTTCAGAGACCAAATGGTCCAAAACTTTGGGCCTTCTGTAACCATGGTCCTGCTTTAACTAATTCATTACAGACTATTCAACTGGGATCAACCTCTGAATCACATCACATAGATTACATACACGGGACAACTGCATGTGACCCAACATATCAAAATGAGTCAAAGTCACCAGAGACACTTTTTTAAATGAGCAATCTTATAAACTTATGTTGCAAAATTTCAAATAGTAAGAAGCGTCAAACTTTTTCACCAACTTAATGTCCAGTTCATCAGGATACCAAAATGAGCAATACATCAAAACACAGAGCCAAGTTAGGTCATTCAAATGCAAACTAACAAACATTAAGAGCAAAAAAATGGCATTAAGACTCATTTTGAGGAATCCAGTCACATCTGTTAAATATCAATACACAATGGGCCCATCACTTTCAATGAGCCAACTTTGTATACTCCGATTTGATATCATTTGTTGTGGCAATTTTGTGCCTCAACTAAATAAAACTCAGTAGAAAAACAAAACCCACAGGAAGGTCAGGCAATTATGTTCCATAATCCACACTCTTAAATCTGTCATTCCTGCAGGTGTCTCTACACCAAGGCTGGGCCTGTTCATGTACCAATCACTGCTGTGAAAACCCCCCCTTGGTCAGGGCTGCACCCACCATGCAGCTGGCCTGTTCCCCACCCTGTCATTTCTCAGTTTTTTTCCAATTTTTTTGGAGGAAAGAGTTCAGGGCTATTTTAATAGATCCATATTTAGTTGCCCTCTAACAAGAAAGTAAATGGATTTCTACATGATTGCTACCAGTAGGGTTTTGGATTAAATGGGATGGTCAAAATCATTTTGGAAGGCGATGATTTTTGGAGAGAAAAAAAAGAGAAGAAAACGTGACTGATTTGTGATTTTTCTTTCAAGTCTGAGAACAACCTGTCAAGACTGGAGTGCCTTCTTTGTTTTAATTGTTCGACCAGATTCAGGGGAAGAAATCCATGCAAATTAGGACCCAACCTTTCTTCAGGGAAAACTATGAAACAACTAAGTTGCAAACTATGTAATGAATGTATTTCAAAATATTAATTTCAGCTATAAAATGACAACATAAAATATTCTCAATATTTTCCATTAATTGAAGTACCAATGGAGAAACCTATGGATTCTCGTGGGTGTCCCAAAAATGAAAAACTTGTAAAATGCCAGGGACCTATTCAGAGGAAACTTTAAGAAATTGCAAATAATGCTCTTTTGAACACATTTCATCAGAGTCATCAATTTCTGACTCCATGGAATTTTCTGCCCCCCCCCCAAAAAATAACCCACATTCCACTGGCTTTGTTCACTTTCTGATAAACATGCCCTTGGACAAACAATTCTCCATCAAAGTCAGGTGCTGCATTATTCTCATCAGAGAGCTAATATTGAAAGTGTCGGCAAAAGTTTTGGGCTACGCACGTTTGTGATGTCAATATCTTTGCATTCCATATTTGTAAACTTGTGCTATTCTGTATACACAAAGTCAGGTCAGTGTACGACCACCGTACGCACAGTAACGAGAGAACTTTGCTTACTCTTACAAAAATCAAGGGCCAATAAGCCTTTTGCGAGTTAAATTTGAATAAAATCTGGTACACTGACTTCTTTAAAATCACGTGAACATAACAATTTGAATTCTCCATGCTTAAGACATTGTTGCTACACCTTGTGATCTGGGGCAAGCTCTTGCTTAGTTATACAAGAGACGCCTTGCACCAATACACTGTTTTCAATGGATAAGAAGGGCACAAAGGAACCAGTCTATTCCAGAGATGGTGGTCGCAGTGCAAAAGCTTGCCCCGAATCACGAGGTATACCAACAGTTTCTTTAGTCTGGGGAATTCAAATCGTTATGTTTATGTGCACTCAGATAACTCAGTGCACTAGATTCTATTCAAACTTAACTCGTAAAAGGCTTATGACTTTGTACGCCAAATGGCACATTGCTCTGGCCACAGGGACCTTCCGGATGTTCTGCGGCCACATGCCAAGATTGGCTTGTAATGGAATAAACCTCATGTCACTGAATCAAAGTGAGGAATGTACCCCTTCACCACCTCCCATCTGCACATCTGGTGACTTGACAAACTGCAGAATCTTGGAATGGAATACGTGCTGTAGTGTTCAACGATACGAACATTGCTACATGCTGTAGTGTTCAA